GTTAATTATCGGGAGTTTTTGAAGTGGAATTTGGTATTTGAGAGACATCTGATGCTTAACCAGATATACAATTTTCCTATGTTTGGCATGTTCCATCTTACACATATATTGCTATAATAAAAACAGCTACAAACGATGGATAAGGCATTGGACGAGCCTGTTATTTACTTCTTCGTCATAATTTTAGCTTTTATTTCCAATGTGGACAATAACCTTCCAAATGAATGCGGTCCTTCTGAAGAGGTTGTGGAGAACAACGCAAAAGTGGGAAAGGAAACCACAAATGAAGAAAAGCGTTTCAATTGTGATGTATGTAAAAGAAACTTTAGATATCGAAGCCAATTGGACGCGCACAAACTCAGACATAGTGGCAAAAAACCATTCGAATGTGAAGCTTGTTGAAATCGATTTTATACAAAATTTGAACTGAATGCTCACAAACTGGTCCACACTAATGACAGACCGTACAAATGCAGAGTAGGTGGGAAAGCATTTAAATGTCAATCAGAGTTAACTAGCCATATGTGTATCCATACTGATGAAAGGCCCTTCAAATGTGGAGAATGCAAACAAGCATTCAAACGTAAAAAAATCTGACTGCACATAGGCGTTCCCATACGGGTGATAAACCATACATATGTGGTGAATGTAATAAGGGATTTGCAGAAAAATCAACTTTGATTAGACACGTCCGCGTGCACACAGGTGAAAGGCCATACAGATGTAAAGTATGCGGAATGAGGTTTAAGCAGCAAAGCCACTTGAGAAGACACATGCGTTGCCATAATTGAGATGAATCACTCAAATGCAGTGTATGCGGAATGCGTTTTACAAATATGCTTGATTGGGGTTTACACGATGAGACGCATACTACTGAAAATCAATAGAGTTTTGATGTGTATTAACCAAGATGCAATGCAATGATTTTGTTTAATGTGGCGCCAACATCTCAATCCACGAGAAATGACATTCAGAAACGAAAATGGCAGAAGCAATATGCTTCAAACACGACATTTGGATATCCTCAAATTGACACATGATGAAAAACATTTGCTTCGAATTAACGAAAATGAAACGATATTTTGGAGTAAATCCCATTGGAATCTTCGTTATGGACCCACATCCAATTGTGCAAATGCGTTCGATGCATATAGGAACAAGGAACCATAACGGAGCACAAACGAGCCCATATTTTGCAGAATTACATACTACCTGTTAGCGATGTTTGAGAAAGTTTGATGCAACACCAATGATTTTCATATTTCACTTCTTATAATTATAACTTAATAATGTGAAACATATTTACGATTAACTCATTTCCTATTATCAGAAATTATTTTAATTAATCAAATATCGGCAGGAATAAGTAAAAATTCTAGGATGTTAACCTCTTAATGAACATGAATAGCCAATGATTAAGTATCTCTGCTTACTCAAAATTTCATGTCAGATAGTCCAAACTTGGTGTTGAAGTGATCAGTATTTACATGTACTTAGAATAGTTTACAGGCAATATGTGAAGAATTCCTGCTAGTTTTTTTAAATCATTCGAATTGATCTAGTTGCACCTTGTCTGATTTTCGACTGATTGTCAATTTGAATTGAAATACATGTAAATCTGCCTATCGTTTTTAGTGATTGATAATGCAAATTGTTTCTTAATCGTGCAATTTTGCAATTACGGAGATATTTTATATTAGAGTATGACAAATGAAGATCTTTTTATTTATTTTATCTTTAAAGACCATACATCTTATTCTAGGAGAATCCCAAGCGAACACGTAGTACCCAATAGGTAAGAAATAGATGTAATCAAACTTTTAATCTCTTCACTCAATAGACTATTCTACAAGTTTTGCTTAAGAACAAAAACACTTTTAAAGGTTGCAAAATATGATATTTTACTAGCTGGGGTGTGCGATCGACTTACTTCCACGTGGTGCACCCTGGGCAACGTATATTAATACGGCAAAAAAGTCTATTAACTGGCAGTTGACTTCTGACTTCAAACTACTATCACCCCACTATATGTCACATTCGACTACTTCCACAGTACTCACCTCACCTTTGTTCTACATTTGTGTTTGTCTCTTACATCTTTGAAACACTCTTCTGTTCCCCCCCCCCTAATCGACTTTTTTCACTTTGATGTCCTTTCCCCCCCCCCCTGTGAAGCCTGAAGTCAACTAAAGGGCTAATGATAATCATCAAGACGCCTGCCATTTTATATAAATTTTAGCAAACATTAATCGGTGAACCCTGTAATGTATATGAAGGAAATGATTTAGTATGAACTTTGCGTATTTAATATCAAGTTAATCTATAGATTACATCAATGTTACAATAAACAACGTCACGAAAGTTGAGCAAATGCGTATGAGTTTGTTTAATATCTCATGTATTGCTCCATTTCTCCCAAATTGTGAATTTAAAATGGAAAAACCAGGTTATTGTACTTGACTATTAAATAGGGATTATAAAATTCCGATTTGTGTTCAAATACTGTTAATCATTAACGTTTGATTTTGGTTATTTTAGGACGTATTTTACGGCAAGTATCTTTTTCCTTTGCAAGATTTGAAGGAGGTAAAAGTTCTGTCAAAATTCCCTTTTCCATAAGTGGAAGAGATTACGGTATTTCGGTGTGTTTATTTTCCATTTCGATTAAAAATCTGAATTAAAACTATTGTTTATGTGTCGTTAACTATGTTGTTCAAATTTATTTCAAAAATCTGTCATTACTTCTAATTTTAAGAGCTTTTAGTCAGGACTGAAATGTTTTCCGGGTCAATGTTAAAAGTTTCAATTTTCTTCCGCATTACCAAGTGCTGCAGTTTTAATCTATTACATCTATTAATGTGCATGTACAAGTATATATAATTAAATGAAAGAGATTGTTTGCTTGTGCCAATTTCATAAATGATTTTTCATTTAAATGCGGCAATATTTATGTGCCAAAATAAATTATTTAGTTATATTTTGGCACCAATTACTTAGCGACACTAAGCAATCAATAAAGAAAATGAAAGGCTGACATCAATCATGATCAATAAGTGGTTGAATGCAAGTAGATTTTTGAATGTTACATATAATTGCATTTACTACAAGTATCTTTTCCCATTGCAAGATTTGAAGGTGGTAAAAGTTCTGTCAAAATTCCCTTTTCCTTAAGTGGAAGGGATTACGGCATTTCTATGTGTTTATATTCCATTTTGATTAAAAATCTGAATAAAAACTATTGTTTATGTGACGTTAACTATGTTGTTCGAAATTATTTAAAAAATCTGTCATCACTTCTCATTTTAAGAGCTATTTGACCATGAACAAAGCAAAAGTATGCTTTTGGTCAGGACTGAAATGTTTTCCGGGTCAATGTCAAAACTACAGTGGTGAGTTATAATGAATTACACTGAGTCCTACTTCGATTTGTGTAATCCTAACGTTTTAATAATAAAGGAGAATTTACGGTAAATGAGGCTGAAAATCGACTAGACTTAACATTGGAATATCGACGAGTTAATATGGAAATCACCACAGGTTTTGAATTTAACACAGACTTTTCTTTCTTAGCTGTCACAGTCTATTGGAACAAAGGTGGTTCTTCCATTTTAAATGAATTTATAAATACGTATTTGATACTCTTATAAAAAATAACTTTCATTCAGGGGTGTCGCACGATATAATTGAATGTGAAAGTTGGTTCTCATCTATTAATTACATTAAATCTTATTGAGTTTAAAATATATTAGGAATATTGTTTTGAGTAAAATATTCTCATTATTATTTTTAATCCGTAATTTATTGAGTACTGGAAGTATGGTTATTTTAAAGTAACACTGTACAAAGTAAAATATTTTAATCATTTATAATATCAATAAAAATTAAATATTTGAAAAGATAGAACATTTCGATGCAATCCAATTTTTATGTGGATTAAACAATGATTGGTCCTCATTACCTTTTTCGTAAATGTAAATGTAGATATGGTTCATGAAACGTTTTTTCGAATTATTTCATAGAGCGAATTATGATTTCTATAAAAATATGTATAATATTTCCGACACCAAAATTAAGAAATCGTGATTGTCAAATTGAGGTAACTGAAATGGGAATATTTGTAAGGCTGTAGCGGATTGCTACTTTATTGAAGCCTGACCGACTCAGAAATCTCTATGGCAGATTCTCCACTGACTCAGAAATCTCTTTGGCAGATTCTCCTACATCTAGACCGACTCAGAAATCTCCATGGCAGATTCTCAAACATCTAGCTACCGGCTCAGAAATTTCTATGGCAGATTCTCCAACATCTAGCTAGGAATCAGAAATCTCTATGGCAGATTCTCCAACCTCTAGCTAGAGAGAACCAGCTAAGCTATAGCCCAGCTATCAAGGAAACAAACGAGTGGCACGGTGCACGTTTACTCAGTTAGTATATTGTGGATAAAGTGTGAACGCAGGGAGCTAGTCATGATCAGGATGGGGAATTAGGTTAAACAAGGTTGATGATTGGTCAATGGTTTTACGCTCGCTGCACCCAGAGTTGTACGGTCGCACCTCCCAATCCTGGCTAGCAGACATGCGGGCATACGATGACGCACGAGCGATAACGTGTCCCACACGCCCATCGTCCAAAACAACAGCAAGTAGTAAATGCGTAGAATATGAAGTGGGCATTTAAAAAGGCGCCATTGCAAAAGTATAAATTTTAATTTGATTTTATGTAGTTATGACCATCGCAATTAGTTATTTCCAGAATATAAACCAATAACTACAACAACTAGCACTAGTAAGTTTGTAAAAAGTACCTGATTTCATGTTTATTCGTTAAAATATAGACATACGGGTTACATAAACTTCTGATCAAATGTATTTATACTAAAATGTGTGGTATTTCAATATTCAATACCTTTGCAACTAGGTTTAACATTCATAAATTTGTAATCTTATTGGCAATGCAATTGTATCAGTTCTAATGAAAATGGCTGGATTAACTTTAATACTATGCTGCTTTATTTAATATTTTCCGTTTATAAAATAGGTTGCACAATAAGATCACTTTTTACTAGTAAGTTTTTCCCATTTCACAAAATATTTCCATTTGCCTGTGACTTTCTCTTTCACCCATTCACTGAGGGTTAACCTTCATTTCACCTAGTTGACGTTGGCAACCTTCAATGGACATTCAAAAAATAACGCCAAATTGGGAGATTGTCTTTACATTTTGTTTTCCATAACAGCATGCAAATCCCTACCGATATAATCATTGAATCAATTCCACTTGTATTTACAAAATATGGATTGCCATTTCATTTTTAAATTAAATGACAAATCATTTCAACTTTCACTATTTTATAGTTTCACTTTGTAAATTCCTGATCATTATTGCTTCAAGAATAGGGATTAAAATTTCGCCAATAGTACATAGTGACAAAATATCTAAGTACAGAAAGAAACCCGAAATTGCTAAGCCATATAAGTATAAACTGCTTTCCTCTAATGGATTACTATATTTGAAACCGGTGGCAGAGTCATTTTCCAATTCGAAATCATGCTCAACTTCTGCAACTTATCGTGATATCTTCGGTTAACGCGCACTTCTTCTCTATCAAAACAGCACATTTACCTTCTTCAATATATTCCAGATCTTGTCTAAATGAAGGTTGACCTTGTAATTGTTAGTTGGCTACCCATAATCTACTTTATTTCGCGTTTAATGAACCGCAAGTGTTCCATTTAGTTTCGCATCTATTCCACCTCACATGAAATTTTATAAAGGCCAAATATTCGTTCATTTTATGCTATCTGTAACCTATATGCCTTTCCTGTCATTTCGTACCAACGCTAAGTTAAACAACCTTTTATTTCCATTCGACAAGTAACTTTTCAGGTAGGGCACCTACTGACGATTTTTTTCGAAAAATAATGTTTGTTCATATGGAATTGGCATTTATGAGCAATGGGGACCTATTGGTCACTCACTTCACATTCACAAACTTGTGCACTAACTCAAGTACTCTTAAATCCACCTCATATAATTTTT